AGCCAGGGAAAGATAAATGTTCTTCTTCAGCTACCTTCATGGATTGTGCCTGCCTTTTCATGGATTGTGCCTGCCTCTTCATGGATTGTGACGGTTATGTGGCACAGTGAGGAATGTATACTGTCACTGGAGTAAGGCTGAGGGAGTTGGAGTCCCGAATTCTCCAAGTGAGGAAGTCTGGAAGAGATGACAGCAGTAGGCAGGTACTTGAGCTCGTATCACTGGTTCCTCCTGTGTAAATGATGAGGCTTAATGATAGAATAGAAAATACTGGGATTCTGTAAGATTAAGCAAACTAGCATCAAGCCACAGACTGAACTAAAGTAAACACAGCCTCTGGGATGTTCTGTTTTCTTCACTCCTCTAGACAGTGCCTATTCGACTTTTAAGACCTGTCTCTTGTGTCCTCTTTCTTCGGGAGTTCTACCCCATTGCCACCGTATTCCTTCATGCTCCATATTCTACTTCATTGCTCTGATTATCAGTCCTTTGAGAACACTGAGTGTATTTTATGCTCTAATAGGATACGTGGTGCCTGATGAAGGCTCTGTGCGGATCGCAGTTTCTGACAACACTGCTCCATCATGAAGCATCCTGAGGGGCTCTAAGGCCAGGAATGGAATAAGCAGTTCATCATACCTCTCTAACGCATGTTACATCCACCGTTTACCCACACATGTGGACTTTGGCTAGTAAACTATATTGGGTGAGGCCTGGAGTCGCAGGGAAGAAAGGGACAGAAAGTCCATTAGCATCCTCTATGCAGAGCGTGGTCGAGTTTTTACCTTTACAATTTCTGAAAAAGAAACAATAAAGAATGCATCTACTATGTCTGGATTAGATTACTGCTCTCCAAGTAACATGCATAGATTTCATGAGAAAGTTTTTTCAAATAATAGTAATGTCTTTTCAGAAGGTTTTTTTTTCAAATAATAGTAATGTCTTTTCAGAATGTTAATTTTAGGAATATTCCTTAAACAAGCCTCTCCACCAATGTAAATAATTCCAATTAGACCAAATCAAACCAAATTAAAAGATATCCAGGTTTAATTGGACGTCTGTGTTCCAGGTGGTCCGAGGAGGGAACAGAAAACCAACATGACTACCTAAGGGAAAGAGGGAAGACCACGTCTTTATTTTCTGGGGAGCAGTTTAAATAGCCTATGGGAGTGGTCTTGACCTTTCTTGGGGAAGGGTCGAGGTTTGGCAGGCTCCCTTGACCCTCGCAGGGGAGGGGTCAAGGTTTGATGGCTGCAGGGGAGGGGGCTGGGATTATGGTTAAACAACAACAACAAAACCTTAACCCCCAAATATATCTGTTCCACATTAACAACACCAAATATGCACTTTGTAAATAGCAACAGGTCTTGAGCACGTTTGTTCCAGGAATAAAGTTGTAATATAACTTATTGATACTCTGGTTGAAAACCTATAATAGATGTACTAAAATTGACATTTAATAAAGTTTTATTTTAAAGAAGACTTTGTATTGTAGGAAGAGCATACTGAAAGACCACTCTCTTGCTTTCTTAATATTCATGAGTAGTGGATGATTTTAAGAACGATGATATCAGCAAGCTCTCAGATTTGTTTAAACAAGCTTATACTGTGCATAAATTTGTTGTACAAAATAATCTAGATAACTTTGGGGAGATACCTAATTTAAAGATAGATTAAAACAATATGTATAAAATATATATGAAACATTTTAGTCTGTGACATGTACAACATGTATATATAATCATACACACATGTATGTGTGTACATATATGTGCATGTGTAATGTGTGCATCCAGTATTTTACAGCAAATGTGTGTTTTATGTATGCTCTCATTTAAAATGTATGGAATAAAATGTGAAAGTACCTGTTTAAATTAATCAAAGGGATTTTCTAAGAATACATGCAGTAAAAAATTTATCAAAATGCATGTGCATTTTTATCTTAGATTTATTTATTATTTTACACTGTTAATTTTAGACATTTTATCTTTTACTCCACCTGGATGGGACCTATTCGGTAACAGAATACCCTCGAGCAATATGAAAAACAAAAGCTTAAATATATTAATAGCAATTGCTTTATCCTCCTCAGTAGAGGAAAGAAATCCAAATTCAGAAGGTCTGTGGGAAAGAGAAGATTGTCATAATGCTTTCCACCCTGACAGATATACACATTCCAATTGATCATTGAGTCACTTGCTACTCTGGGAAGTAGCCTGTCTTGGATCAAGTGGTTCTCACCAACCGAGGGAAATTGCCAGAAAAACATTCAACTGAGCAAAGTCAGCCTCCAGAACACAAGCATCTGAGGGAGGATTACAGCTGGGAGGCACACCACCTAACATTCTACTGTGTGAAATGGAGCAAATATGTGACCAGGAAAGTCACAGAAAAACAAATCGCCAATAAGCAAGATTGTTTAACTCAGTATTAATCAGAAAAAAATGGAAGAAATCTGAGACTTTTTATCAGAAAAAAATGGCAGTGCATTTTTATTCATCTTGAGATTTGTTTGTTTTTGTTTTGTGTATACATGGGCTGTGTCTGCAGGTATGTCTGTGTACCATGCGCATACAGTGCACACAGAAGCCAGAAGAGGGTGCCAGATCCCCTGGACAGGAGTTAAAAGCTGGTTGGTCATCCTGTGAGTACTAGGAACTGAACCTGGGTCCTCTGGAAGATCAGTCAGTACTCTTAACTACTGACTCACCTTTCCAGTCCTGGAAGTGCGTTTGTAAACTGAGATGTTGTTTGAGAGTGTATGAAATAGTCTAGTTACATGCAAGTTGTGTCTTGGTCCTTCTGAGGAGTAATTGGGTGGTATCTATAAATTAAAAATGTTATAATATACCTTTAGCTTGCCTATTCAAATGCATTTAGCCTTTATATAGTACCAATATGTAGGGTAAAAATAACTAAAATATCAGTTTCAGCATTACTTGTAATATCAATGAAAACTAGAAGTAACCTAGCTCTGCATCAACAATAATCATAATAAATAACAAAATATTATGCAGCAGTGCAATGAATCAGATTTATAGCTCATGATATAAAAGGTGTCTTCTCATAAACACATAAAATCAATTTACAAATGTGTATGTATATATGTGTGTGTGTGTGTGTGTGTGTGTGTGTGTAATTGTATATTGCTGTGGTTGGAATTGTGAAGTTTAAGTGTTACGTGGTCACATATATACATACATGCATGCAAAAATCTCTTACAAGGCACAGATGATCATAGCATGAGCATCACTCCTATGAGAAAAGGAATAATTTGAAATAAGTGAGATCTTGTCGGAAGATGTGTGTCCTTGTTCTAAACTGAATGTGGATAAAAGCTGGTTCGTTTGTTATGTTGAATTGTTTTGTCTTGTGAAGTTTTAGTTGGAAGAGGCAGACAACGCTGTGTGCAAACACGTACGTATGTGTCACTGATTCGCAGCCCAAATAAAATCATTACATACAAAAGTGGTTTCCATCTCATGCAAGACTCCTGCTGTGTGCATACGCGTATGTATGTGTCACTGATTTGCAGTCCAAATAAAATCACTACGTACAAAAGTGATTTCCATCTCATGCAAGACTCTCTACACAGCTGCATTGTGTTTCTAGGTGTTAAGATCACACGGCCTTCGCTGGAGAAACTCCACGTAATGCCTTGGCAGAGTACCATCTGCTTTCCCATGCCTTTATCCTGAGAACGACTACCATGCTGATGCTTGTGAGGCACATAGAGATCTGCAATATGTTACATGGGACACACATGCAGGCCTTCTGAACAGACATCTCTTGAATAACTATGAAAGAACATTTTTTTTAACATCTTGCCCTGTTGTCCAGGAAGAGTCAAGTGCTCCCTAAATCCCAGGAGTGTGTGCTCACGAACTTGATGCTTAAGGTTTACTCCATTCAAGAAAGTTAGCTACTGCTCCCTTGGGAACTATTTCTGGATAAGAATGTTCTGGTCCCCGACCATCCATCCTGGATGCGATACTGAAACAGTCCAAGCCCACCCAGAAAGGAGATAATAGGCATGGTAACATTTGGAATGAAAAGGTGGAATTTCCTCTATAAGCATAAGGCTAGCTCACATGTGGTGCTGGGAGCAAGGGGTGGTGTGTATGTGTGCTACTCTTGGGAAGGAGCAACTTGTACTGAAAGCCATTCCTCCAACCCACGTACATTTAAATATCCATATATTAAAATATACGTACCCGTTTCCCTCTCCTACATAAAGGAGTCAGGTCCAGGCTGGTCTCTTTCTATTTGATCTTAATCCCTCTCCTCTCCAGCATGGCCAGGAGCGCCCCTCTCTTTGTAATAAATAGCTGGCGGAGCTAGACATTCATTCTGTCCCCTTTGATCACCTCGGAGCTGTCAGCCCCTGCTGCTGTTTGCCTCCCAGCTCTTGTTCCTGCCTAAAAGTGGAAGTAATGCCCCCTGAAAGAAATACCCTAGCTGTCCCGCAAGGCCGCAATCTATTTCTTCTTTTGTTGCACACGCCCCCTGGGGCCCGCCCTCCCAGTTTGAACAAACCCCCCTCTTCTTTCCTTTTCAACATCTTCAGAATTCTAGTTCCTGCTGGAGACACTCGCCTGTGCTCCTGTGACCCCCGCTGGACCAGACTGTCTGAGAAGCTACCACCAGGCCAGACGGGGGAGGCTCTGCCTGGCTCCTCCTCCTTTTGCCTGTCGCTGGCTCTGCAGAGATGCGCACTGCAGACATTTGTGTCATGAGTCCTACAGCTGGCACCGGGGAAGGCGAGCATCATTTCCCCCATAACTTACCCCGCGGCTGTTCTCCCCTAAAATGCCTCCGTCTCCCTTCATTCACTAGGGACTTGGGGTTGCTCCTAGGTCTCCCTGGGCTGGGTTTGGTCTGCCCCCCCCCCCCCCCCCCGGCTCTGCAGTTAGCATTTGAGAGATGGGGAGTGGCGCTGAGCTGGGACTCAGCGGGCTGATGCTCGCAGACAGGGCAGGGATCACATTTGCAATCTCTGTTCCGGGTTTACAGCGGAAATTATAAACAATCTATCTCCCTTCTTCTCCTCGCGTCAGGCTGTGTATAGCTTGTAAATATTGTTCAAAGGACATAATTTGCAAAGGTAAACAACTGGAAGAAAAGTATATGGACCGTGAGGTTTGTCTTTAATGTGTTTACAGGACAGGAAAGGGGTCGGAGAGGGAAAATTATGGGGTAGAATGGGAATTCGAGTGGGGGAGAGGGGAGGGGTAACGACCAGGGGTAACACAGAATGCTGATGATTCTATAATGGTGACATAATTAATTAAACGTAATGTCTCTTAAAAGCTTTTGGCTGTCCCTGACATTGTTTGGAAGGATGCATTATTTTAAAAGGAGAGCTAGGATGTTGGAGGGGGTTGGGGGGTGGGCTTTAAAAAACGACTGAATACCACTCATTGTGCTGGATCAAAAAAAACCAACAACCTGCAGTGGAAATAAATACTGCGTTCCCAGCTGCTGGGCTGGTGTGCGGAGGCCACAGCCAGGGAAGCATGGACTGCAAAGTGGAAAATTCCTGCAGAGGACGTGTTTCTGTTTCCAGTGGGAAGAAAGAGAGAAAGAGGGTGTTGTTGGAAGCTGGTAGCTCTTTAGCAAACACAGAGAGCACCATGACGATGGCAGAGCGACCTACCTGAAGTGGGAGAAATTAAGCAAATAAATCACTTTTTTCGATGTCCTGTATTCTTAGAGACTGCGGGCTCCCAGGAAGAGTCTGGAATCTAAGCTTTCCCTCTTTGGCCCCCGGGTCTAGACAGGAAAGGAATGCAGAGGCTGCAGGAACTGGGAGCCTCTGGTAGGGGGTAAGCAGAAATTTGCTGGTGCCTTTACTCCTAAAATAGGCACGTATTCAGGGCCAGGGTTCTTGAGTCCTCAATATTGAAATGACACACCTGTTTTCCAGAGGATGTCAGCAGCTGAAGTAATGTTCTTCTGTCAGAAAGGTCCTCAGGTCCTGAGAGCACCTTCACAGATTGGATGCTTAGGGAGACTCCAGAGAGACGTCACTGGGGTTTCTTTCAGGGTAGTTTAGATTGCATCCCAAGGATGCAGAGAAGGGAGAGCCGAAAGCTGGTCATCCAGCCACTGTGGGAACTCATTGCATTCTTAGAGAGAATGTCAGCATCCCCATGAATGCATCCTGGTACAGAAAAGTGAAAGTCAATAAGAAGCCATGTTTCTATTCCTTTGCCTTGGTCTTGCTTTTTGTTTGTTTTTCTGTAAGGCCTCCATTAGGAAGCAACAGTGGGGAGTTCACAAAGCCTGTGCAGTCAACACTCTGCATTTTTTTTTTTCATTTGCTCAGAGCTCCCCTTTCTCTAGCTGATGCACAGCATCCTCACAAAATATTTAAAAAATCCATTTTGTTCTTAGGGATCTGGTGAGTGTGTGTGAATAGTGTGTGTGTGTGTGTGTGTGTGTGTGCGCGCGCATCTGAAGGCCATTTAGATATAAGCCCATACTAATATGAGAATTAAATACTTTTGATTACTATTGAAAACAGCTTATGGGAAGTAATTACCACTGTATGATCGTTAAAAATTACAACTGACACAGAATTTATGTGTTCAAATCCTCATGAATGATAGCACATAAAAGGGACATCTCACCTCATTCCAATAACTCCAAAATTCAAGTTTTCTTGGGTGTGAACATTCAAGACAATGATGGACCTTAGGTTTGAAAAGTCTGTATTCCGCACAATATTTAGTTTGTCAAGAATGAGACTGAGTCTAATTGTCAAAGTAAAGGAAATGAGTGACTGAGGAAACAATATAAGGGCAATTAGTCAGTATATGTTTAACATATCAATGTACTTGTCTACTCTTACAAATGACACACATAGATTTAAAAATCATTGCGATATGATTCATATATTGTTAAATAACAAAAATTAAATTTTGTAGTTCAGGTCTGATTCTAAATTATTTGCAGAGTTGTAATATGGATGCTATTTTAAAACATCCTTCTCTCTCTCATCCTTTATAATTACTTTCCTTTCTTCCCCCAAGTCCTAAGCAAATACTAATTTAAATTTTATCTTTATATTTATTTGTCAGCTCTGTACTTTTAATATAAAAAGGATCATATAATGTGTGTGTGTGTTTGAATTCTTTCTCTGAGCACTGATTTCAGATCTGCCCATTTTGCTCTTCTTCATTGGTAAACAGTGTTGTGGAATATTTATTTAACTATGCAAAGATGTCTTGCATTTATTTATTTATACAAAGATGAATTGTTGTTTTATTTTGCCTGCCTAAGGCACCTGATTGGTCCAATGAAAAGCTGAATAACCAATAGCAAGGGAAAAGGTATAGGCAGGACTTCCAGGAAGGGCGTATAAGTAGGAGGAGGAATTTGGGCTCAGGAGAGAAGGAAAATGAGACAACAGAGAGATGCCAGGGACCAGCCAGACAGTCATGGAGGAAGTAGGAAAGCAGGACATACAGAATGAAAGAAAGGTAAAAAGTCCTGAGACAAAACGTAGATGAGTAGAAACATTCAAATTAAGTAAAAGAGCAAGTAGAACAAGTCTACACTAAGACCAAACACTCATAATTAATAATAAGTCTCCATGTCTTTATTTGGGGGCTGATTAGCTCTCCACAAAAAATGCCACCTACAAAATCATCTTCCAATATGTGAACATACCACAATTTTATTTAGCAGCTGACAAGCCTTCAAATCCCTTCTTTGAAACAACACAACTGAAGCCGCTCTGAAAAGTCACATACAACTGATTGTGTGAATACAAGTTGTCATTTACTTTTGGTGAAGATCTAAAAGTGAAGCTGCTGTTGCTTACAGAATACAAAACTCTTCAAGAACTGACAAACTGTATTCCAAAGAGGCTGCATTGTTTTCCATTCTCACTCACAATGAATGTGCAAGATCTCATTGTTCTAATTTTTTACTACCATTTGCAATTGTCTTATTGCGGTCATTCCAGTGATCAAGAAATGGTAACTCATTTAGGGTGTGGTTTGTAGTTTCTACTGACCAACACTGCTATGCATTTTTACAATTGTTTGATTACTACTAGTGGATCTTTTAAATCAAAATACTAATTAAAACTTCCCATTTATTCTTTTCAGCTGTGCTACTTTTTTCTTATAAACTGATACTGGTTTTGTTGTTGCTGTTTTTTTAAATAATCTGGCACAAATATTTAATTCATTACATGACTTGAGCGGGTATTTGCCAATTCTTTGGTTTATTTGGTGATGTGGAGCAGATGTTTCCTCAAAGACTAGGAACAAACTGTAAAAGGATCAAATACAGCAAAAGCAAAGGCCTAGAGAAGATGCCACATAAAAATTTAAAACCCTTATAATAGGATCTGGGCGTATGGGTTTATTTCATTGTTTTTGTGTCTAATGTGAGATTATAGCCTGCCTATGTTGACTTGAAGTTTGTGTTAGAGAGCACAGCCAAAGCACTGAACTAGACTATTCTATGTGTAGATAGAATTTATTGTCAGACAAGCTGCCAGGTTACCAAAGAGGGTAGAGAAGTTGTCAGTTTTATCAGGGCAGGTAGCAGTGGGAGGTGGTCATGTATTCTGAAGACTGCCCTTCTTTAGGTGACCTCACAGTTACTAAAGAAGGAGCAGAAGCACATTTGCATATCTTGACCACCTATCAGGATGGCATGGACTTACTAGAATGAACTATCTTAATTTCAAAAGAAGCAAGCAATCACCTCCTGAGTTAGGACTTGCAACTCTGCTTGTCAACACTCCAAACTCTGACTGGCAGACAAGGTGGAAATGGACCTGCAGTTTTGACCTCCACAAGAGAAGTAGTAACTTTCTTGAAAACAGAAATTCAACCCTCGAGATTTCTGAGGAATTCTGAGTTTAGGTTTCTAATTAACTGATAAGAGTTTCCTTACCTACTTCATAAGAATTTGCCCTGGGTTAGGCCTAACCATCATCTTAGGACATTGTCAGCATCACTGCCATGTCTGAGGGCCCAGTTTGTGATCTATCAATTTGTTTTTTTTCTTTTTGGTTGATGTTTTCATGTCAGACAGGTGGAGTGAGGAGCTCTGTCTTTCCAATGCTCAGTGTTGATTACTGACTTGGAAGATTAGGTAAGTCCACTTCACTGGTAACTGGTGTGACATGGGGGCATTAAGGGTTGTGAGATTGTCTGGGTAAAGTTCAAGAACCTCAGGTGATAGGGTTCTCAGCTGGGCTGGGTGTGGAAAGGCACCCTGGGGCAATGGTCCAGGCTAACAATAATAGTTACAGAAGAGGTCATGAACTTTAGAGAGCAGAGGGGTCAAGGGAGGAGCTGGTTTGGGGAAAAGGAAGATAAAAATAAATTAAATATAGAACTCATGTATGGAGATATCAGAAAACTTTATTATTTTCCCCCCAAATCTCTTGATGAATACTTATTCAACAAGGGTTTTATTTTAAGGGAAGAAGAGTATCCTAAAACAAACAAATTAACATGTGTTTTGGGTTTATTTCCACGAGTTTGGTCTCCAGTGCTGTGGTAATGGAGGTGGATAGAGCTCTAGGGGGCAGAGCATGGGAAAAGGTTCCTAGGTCTGTTCCAAACTCCTGCAAGACTCTGGAACAAGAGCATCGGACACAGTAGAGAGCTTAGACCCTTCTCTGCTAAGATAGATATAAAATAATGTCTTCAAACTTCACATCAAGGTTAGCTCTGAGAATAAAAGGATGAATAGATAAAAAAAGCATAATTATAAAACAAAACTTTTTTTCTTTTCATTTCTTTTTAAGAAAACAGTAGTTCGTGAAAACGGAACACAGAGAGGAAAGCATCCACTTCCATGGAAAGACCCCAACTTGCTTTAGAACATTTTAAAGGATATGTACTTTTGATGTCTGAGAGATTTGCATTTAAGATAGCTTCCACAAATTCTTGTCAGGCAGTGCCATAATCTCTTTCATGAAAGTATGATTATTTTTAAAAATAATTCTGCTTTTAAAGATATTGTTTGACATGGGCTCCAGACACAAAGTACCACAATTCTTTGAGTTTACGTACACAATGTCACTGATATAACATTACTAAGTCTTCCTATCCTATGGCTTCAGCACAATCATGGAACTATGTCCACAAAACTGGGAACTCTTCTATTAGGTACCAGAAGCTTAAAATTTGCTAGAAGGCAAAAGAAAATTATCTTATTTGATATTGAAAAGTAAGAGGTCCCTTGATAAGTTCATTCTAATTTTACAAGTAATTTTATCCATACCAGAAGCTATTGATTTAGACAAAATAACTCATACTTTAGCAGAAAAACAAATCCTGTGATGTTTTGAAAACGAAGAAAGATAATGGTTTACAAAACTGTTGTAAAAGGCCACTTGTTTGTTTCCCAACTGCTCAGACTCCAAAAATAATCACACAGAAACTATATTATTTTCAATACTGTTTGGCTAATAGCTTAAGTGTCTTTTCTGCTAACTCATATCTTAAATTAACCCATTTCTATTATTTTATACTTTCCCATGAGGCTCATAGTTTACTGGCAAAGTTCCAGAGCTGCATGGCTTCTCCCTGATTCTGCCTTCTTTCTCTCAGCCATCAGTTCAGTTTTCCCCACCTAGCTCTGTTCTGCCCTGCTATAAGCTCAGAGTAGTTTATTTATTCATTAACCAATAAGAACAACACATATACAGAAGGACCTCCCACATCACAAAACAATGGGCATAATTACATAAAATAGATCACCACTGAGGCCAGGGCATACATAATAATGCCCCCGTAAAATTACCTGAGATGAATGAGAAAAGATATTTCTAATCATCTTATGTCAGTATGATTTTACATGAGTTGAACTATAAGATTATTTTAAATGTGAAAACTCTCATATTACTCAATTCTTTCTTCAACTTTTGCATATGTTACCATTGACAGATTTATAGATTTATGCTATGATGTTAACTAAAGCTCTTGGAAGAGTGTATCACAAATTATCTATGGAAATCCCATTTTGAACAGATAGGGGGTTGGTGTCCCTGCAAAGATGACATGTATCTAACTACATACATCCTTAATTTGTTACTACGTTTTGGATCGTGACTGCCCCATCAAGCCACATATGTCAAATGTTTGGTTGCTCTTCACTTCACTTCAGGAGTTGGCCCAAGAGTAAAGAGTTGAGGTCACTGGGAGGTCAAGGGTGGGATCATGTACTAAGGACACTGTGTTTAACTTTAATTGTCAACTTGACACAATCTATCATCATCTGGGGATGGAATCTCAAGAGGAATTGTCTACACTGGTTTGAACTGTGAGCATGCAACTGGTATAGAAAGACAATTGGAGACAATACACTGTCAGTGTGCCAGAAGGGTCCTTTGAAATTTCATGTTCTGGAGAAGGATAACAGAAAGACTTCTACATAGAACACTCCCTCAGAGAGTCATCCTCCCAGCCTCCAAGTCCTGGGGTTGGAATTCCAAAAGGCACAGTTCTTTTGGAATGAAATGTATCAACATCTCTTTCATAATCAAGTCTGTTCCTTGAAATGTAATTGTTTCATGGTACAGTATTTGACTCTGTGAACTGTGGCCATCATATGTGATGGCATAGCTCCACAAATTTAGATCCAGTATGTAGGAATCAGAGGAGTGAAGGATTAGAAAGGCTGCATTAAAAATGAACAACCCTAGACACAAAAATCTAGTTAGATAATGATTAACAGCCTTGTCAAATTGTGAGGTTATTTCTTATTTCGTAAATAAAAGAGATTTTCCTGTTAATACACTTGCAATGTAATCTGCGCATTAAACTGTACTGAATTAAAATTAGTGCTCAGAGACTTTGGGACACATAAAAGGTGCATTTAATGGTGTGGTCTTGCTCTGCACCATGGTAAACAAAATGCAATCAACCCCTAGAAGCGAACATAAAAGTGGAAGGAGAGAACTGGGTCAGCAAAGATGTTCTTTGACATCCACACATGAACCATGCTATGTATGACTACCTCCTCACTCCAACACACACATATCATGTGCACACACACCCACACGCATACATACGTAAACATGCACATGTAAAAATAAAAGAATATTTTTTTTAAATTTGGGTAACTGTGTATCTCTGTGTTGCTGACCTGTCAGCAAAATGAGAATTTTAATAATGCATATGAAGTAAAGAGAAGATTTGGGTCTTAAACCTCAAGCATATTCTAAATTTATATATCTGGTTCTCTGAAAGCTTTCTTAGATATTTGAAGTATCTGGAAAGATCTTAATCCTCAACTCATCAAATTTATGCCAAACTGGCAAAGTGATGATAATCGGGACAATTATTTAGGTTTCTGTCAACCTCGTTGACTAAGAAGCTTCGTACTTTAAAATTAACAAGAGTTGGCAGCATGCCATTAAAATATAAATGGAAACTTCGATGAATGGATTTTGTAAAGTCAACTGTATTCGATATTAAAAAATAGAAGGCAACAGTCATATTCATGATTCGAAGATTATTTCATTGTACATTAACAGAGGTGAAATAAACAACCTTAGGGAGTTCTGGAGATCAGAAATGTGGCGGCGTTCCCATCAGCCCATGCTAGAGGAACCGTTGACCTTACCTGTGAATGAAGCCATCACGCCAGAAAAGCTTCGAGTCTCCTAGCATCATGGGAACCCCCACCTTCCTGCTCTCTATTCACAAGTCATCTGAGACCAAGTATTTTCATCAGAGGGATCCAGGCTCCGTAACAGAGAACTGCTTGTGCAGCAACGCTTGGTAAAGTCCTGCAGCTGATGTGGCTTTGCTTGCCTAACCCAAAGACACAACCCCTGTCTCACGCAGGCGCTGGCAGCTCAGATTTGCTCTTGTGCTGACAGAATCTCAGAGCATTCGGTTTCTTCCTCCCAGGAGCCTCCTGAAAGCTTCTGGAGCCCACTGCCTCGTTGAGGTCCTGCAGTCTGCGGTCTGGAGGTGAGGAGCAGAGAAGAGTGTCTGAGGAGATCTGGCTTCCACAACGGAAGAGTGAGAGGCTCTCAAGGATCTCATCATGCTTCCCGTTTTGGGCATCCTCACCCCGCATAAAAAGGTGCTACATCCACTAAGTGTTAAATAATAAAGGAAGTGGCTATTCAAAGACAATTTTGCTGGAGCATTTAAATAGGCTCTAACTATTCGGTGACAATTATTGGAGGATAAAAACAAGTTAGAGGTAAATTATTATATTTTCTAATTAAAAAATAATAGAATGCAAGCTATTATCTCATAAATTTACACGTATATTTATTTTCAGGGGTTACAATACTTACCGAAAATATTCTTAAAAGAATATCTTACTTAGCTATAGTTGCTTATATAAACACACAGTGCTAACTAATGTGATATTAAATATCTTATGCTCCTTCTGAAAATTTTATTAATCCTTAAATAAACAAAAAATGAAATGACATTTAGTCTCGTTAGATGAACAATACGTTAAAAAAAGGTGAATGTATAATTATACATTAAAAATTAATTTCATATTAGATGATTTCTATAAATGATACTCAACACACAATAGGTTAATCTAAAGATAATATGTAAGAAACAATTACAGAAAAATAACAATATGTCTCAAAAAACAGCAATCATAGTTTTAATTTGTAATTGCATTCTTATCCCTGCAAATAATTAATAGCATTAAAAATGTGTTGTATCATTTCCAAATAAATATAAAAATAAAAACATTTATCTTCTATATGTGTATAATTGAACAATTTCAAGAGTGAGAGACACAGAAGAGATATATATGTGATAGCTCTCTCTCTCTCTTTCTCTCTCTGTGTGTGTATGTGTACCTGTAAAAGGTTTAGAGAAACAGAATTTGTGAGAGATTGTTTTTCCTCTCTAAATAAGCTAAACAGAAATTTTCAGTTGCCTGTCCTTTTGATAAACTTTTTCTTTAACAAAAGGAATTAGTAATTATCTTATAGAATCTACTGATCAAAATGTTTAATTCAAACTTAAATAAATTATTGCTTTGAGATACTATTATGATCTGCTGGTTTGGGTACCCTGTCCCTTTAAGAGATAAGCCCCACCTATTCCACCCTTCCTCCAAGGCAAGCTTATCTTCCTCATCCTCCAGCCTGTGCTCTCTCCCCAGCCCTCTTCTAAAGAGGTGGCTGCTGCCTCTCCCTCTCTCCGCCAACCTCCTTCCTCTCTTCTCCCTCCTTTTCCCTCTCCTCCCTTTTCCCTTCCCCTTCCCTTCCATAACCTACAAAATAAGCTCTATATCCAAACTCTCTCTGCATGGTGTGTCTGTCTGTCTCTCACTAGCCTGGGACCCACCATGGCCCCTTGTGGGACCCCCCCCCAACACCACCACCACTGCCATATCTTTAAAAAGAATAACAGATACCAGATTAGGATTCTTCATGATTTCATTTTTATTTGGAGATATATATTCCAAATAAGATGCTATCAAACACTGTTTCTAACTACTGGAAGGCAGCAGAAATCTGTCTGGTAAGTACATCCTATCCCCCATGGCCCTTACACTATATCACGGTCCTACCGTACTTCGTTCCATGTGCACGCAATCCCTTCATAATGTTGCTACACAAAATCATTTATTTATTGTGGATGAAATATTCAGAGAGTCTGCTATGATGTGTGTCTAAAGAAAAATAATCAATAGTCAACATTTAGGGGTGAAACCTTAGAGATTCTTTTATTCCCTTCTGTTTTCTCACTTGCTTCTCTCCCCCTACTTCCCTTCCCCTCCTCTTTCCTCCTCTCTTCTCCTCTCCTCTCTTCTCTTTCTTTTCTTCTTTATTTGTAGTAAAATAAAATTTCCCTTAGCCTATTTCTGGAGAAAGATGCAAAATCAACCCTGCCAGAGCTTCTTGAGTCTATGGGCCTCAATGTTGACTTCCAGGGAGTTCTGGCTCAGCCAGAAACCTTTCCATGAAGCAACTGCGGCAAGAATTAAGAGGTCATCAAAACCTCAAACAAGCTACAACCCTGTGGATTTGAAGAGAAACAAGATACTCCAACATTCCTTCTCTGGTTTCCTTGGCAACATCAGCAACAACTCTATACTACTGTGTCTCTCTGATTTTTTTGTTGTACTTTTTTCCCTTCAGGAGGTCAAGTGAATGGAAACCTCCTGGAAGAAATACTGCAGCCTACTAGATGGGCTGACATACATTAAAATGAGAGACCCAAGCATTCTGACTTTTCCCACCGCTCAAGGGGAGGGGGTTGGGGAACGACCTTAGGGCAAGGAAACAATGTACAAATTCCACCTGGACAGCAATGAGGAATCCTTCTAAGAGGCTCACCACTGTTATGAATTACATTGAAAAATAACAAACAAGCAAGTAGAAAGTTAAATTTCCCTCCGCAGAGCTCTTCAAATATATTAAATAAAGGGGGGAAAAAGTCCAAACCCAGATTGTATATAATCGCATAATTGAAAATAGCAGAAACCAGCTAACTGTCCTTAAATCATATGTAACCAACTAGAAGAAGGGGTTAGGAATATTTTATTAGAAATTTCGTCAAACTTCTAGTGCAAAGACAATCACTCAAACAAAATTCACATTCAAACATTGAGAAAGTATGCATGCAGCATTGGTTAGGGTTCTAGTCAAATCATAAGTACGGCAACATGTTCAAATCTAAAACAAGAGGTTAAGGTCAGACTATGTAACCTAGGGGGGCAAGGTCCTAACCTTAAGCTAGTTCTGTCCTTCTACAAATAAGAAAGCCAGCAGAAATTCCAGCTGTCACAAGAAGGCAGCATCTACTTGTATCTGTGACAGTGTGTGATTGCCATTTTTTTATTCTTGCATTTCTTCCCTTTTATCGCCCATACACCTGAGTATATAATCCTGCATATCTCATTTCCTCTCTCTTCAAGATCTGCCTGATTACCGACAGAATGCTGTTTTAGTACTTGTCAGCTGCTCCCATTTCTGGGTAGGAAGGGTACTAGCTTCCCCTGACACAGAGGACAGTACAAACTCATGCATCTGCATGTCTAGACTTTGCTCTAAAGCTCCTCTGACTCTTGAAGGTCCAGGCAAAGACCAAGAGGCCCTGCTGTTGACCAGCTCCTTTTAAAGTTGGCAGCAGAGGGAATTGAAAGGTACTGGTAGAAACACACGATGCAAGACGTACTGATCTTGGCAGTGGCCAATAGGGTACAAAGGTAGTGGTCAATGAATAAGGATATCATCATTGAGAGAAGGAAGATATAGATCAAGAATATCAAATATAAGACGCAGAAACAAGGTTAAAGAAGGAACTTCCAGCACAAATAGATGAGAAAGAGAATAAAAAAAGCAAGCAAAAAGGAAAGGCTGGAAAGAAAGCAAAGTAGGGGTGAAATCTAAGCCCAGAGGATGTTTAAACTACAATAAAACAGAGGGAGAGGGCTGTATAGTCTGGATGGTTTTTATTGGTGTGTAGCTTTCTGACTAACAGAGTTCCCCACTGATGTCTCATTCTGAAAAATGTAGTCAAGGGAATGAGAAGATAATGTGTTTTTACTGAATACAACTCTTCTGTCCTAGCCACCCACCATTCTCACACCCCCACCCCTACCGTCTAAAGCAAATCTCACTTCACTGACTGCTATTAACATAAATGCAATCATTTATGGAGGTCAGAATACTCTGATATCAGGATGAACTCTTTATGGCATTTTCTTTTCCTTTCTGATTCCGATTTCTACACTTTTTTTTATGCTATCTGTGTTGGACTGCCAATCATACTCTTACATATACACTCCTGTAAGTCCCTGAGGCCTAACAGCTTTTGCTATACTGCTTCCTATTTTGTTTGAGATATAATTCATGAGAAATTTCACATGCCAACTCTGCCATAAAGAAAGGAAAAATAATTCCAGGTTCACATAATCTCTACAGCAGTTAGGTATGATCCACATTTTCTCCCTTCTTACTATGTATTAGTAGAAGGTTATGCTGACAGCACTCATCTCTGAAAGGATAAGCTAATTCACCAAAGATATGTTTTACTACTACTATAGGTCAGAGATCAGACTCTAAAATATGTAAGGACATTCATTGATCACATGTTTTCTAATAACTGGAGCAAGAGGCACACTCTCCTAATCACACTGGTTGGAAGACTGATTCAGGAGACTCATGATTTTGAAGTCATTCTGGCCTACAAAGGAAAACCCTGTCACAACAAAAAAAATAAATTGAAAGCCACTTGCTCTAAAGTTTGAGAAACCTAGGTTTGAAGCCAAGTTCTCTTAATTTTCTAGCTATGTATGACCTTCAATAAATTATTAATCCTTGCCAACTTGGATTGTTTTATCAGCTAAAAAGTAGGCAATGATAAAAATATAAAACAGAAATTAAAGAAGTGAAAAAAAGCAGGATGAAAAATAACAAAAACAGAGTTCTTAGAATATATAATATGTCTAATTAACATTAACCAAAGACAATATTATCAATTAACATTAATAAAATCCTAAGAGGTAAACTCTTTTCATATTTGGTTGTAGTCAGAAGTTTCTCTCCCACCCACGCGTTCTCAAATATAGCACCTGTCTTCCAAATAATTGACTCAGAAGCTTAATATAAATTATAAATGCTTTTTTGGGTTGGGTCTTTTTATGACCGCTTCTATCTCCTTGCAGCTTATAGGTCTATTTATATTGCTCACCTGGTCTTGATTTAATTTTGGTAGATGGTATCTATTTTAAAAATTTCCATTTCTTTTACATTTTCCAATTTTGTGGAGTACAGGTTTTTGTAGTAAGACCTAATGATTCTCTGGATTTCCTCAGTGTCCATTGTTATGTCCCCCTTTTTATTTCTGATCTTGTTAATATGGATGTTCTCTCTCAGCCTTTTGATTAGTTTGGATAAGGGTTTGTCAATCTTGTTGATTTTCTCAAAGAACCAGCTTTTTGTTTCATTGATTCTTTGTATGGTTTTCTATGTTTCTATTTTGTTAATTTCAGCCCTCAACTTGATTATTTCCTGTTTTCAACTCCTCCTGGGTAAGTCTACTTCTTTTTTTTTTCTAGAGCTTTCAGGCATGCTATTAGGTCACTGATAGGATCTTTCTCCTTTTTCTTTATATGGGTACTTAGTGCTATGAACTTTCCTCTTAGCATTGCTTTCATAGTGTCCCATAGGTTTGGATATGTTGTGCCTTCATTTCATTCAATTCAAGGAAGGTTTTAATTTCTTTCTTTATTACTTTATTGATCCAGGGGTGGCTCAGTAGTTGACTGTTCAGTTTCCATGAGTTTGTAGGCTTTCTGGGAGTAGTATTGTTGTTGAATTCTAACTTAACTCCATGGTGATCTGATAAGACACAATGGATTACTCCAAAAATTTTTTTGTATCTGTGGATGTTTGCTTTGTTACTGAGAATGTGATCAATTTTAGAGAAGGTTCCATGAGGTGCTGAGAAGAAGGTATATTCTTTTTTGTTTGGGTGGAATGTTCTATATATGTCTGTTAAGTCTATTTGATTCATTATATCTGTTAGTTCTCTTATTTCTAATGCTTGACAAATAGATCAGGCTTGCTACTATTTTAGTCTTACACTTAAATGGATCCATATTTGTATTTATGCTCTGCCGTGTGACAGCCCCTTTATTAGCATGACCTATTCATCTCCTGCTCCCACTGCTTCTAGCTGGCAACTCCTCTGACTCTGCCCTTCCTCTTCCCAGAAATCTCCTAGTTTGGTCGTCTGCTTCTACTTCCTGCCTG